GTATAGAGATTGGAAATACCTCTCTAAGGAGTAACTGGACGCTTTGTACAATTTCAAAAATTTGAAGAGGTTGATCTGTAGAGTAGGAGGTTGACAGGTGGTTAAAAATTGGGTGAAACTGCATTTATCATGCGATGGGTTTTTTCCAAAAATGTTTTTTGGTACTCACGTATTTTTGTCTGAAAAACACGAATTTGATAATGAAAATGTGAACAAACCATTATTCATTAGGATATTTGACTATAAAGTTACAAATTTCACCTTCTTTTCCGCCTGTCTTCTGGATGGCATTTAGAACAATTTGCCTTCTTTTTTCATCATTAGACAATTTATATACACTGTGTCCGTAAAGTATGGAACAAATTCGATATTTCCCAAACTAAAAGCCTTTTCAAAAATATCTGAAACACTTCAACTACATTTTCAAGGGAAACATCCTTCTAAAAGATTTTCAGCCCTGCGGCGTTGCCGCTTCTAACGAAAAAAAGCAACAACTTTGTTATTTCAAATGGAACACCTTGTATTTTATTGCATTTTTAGATTCTCCCCGAAGAGCTGATTTCATCCATGCATCACACTTGGGGTCTAGCTGTAATGGTTTCAGGGATATAAATAGGTGTTCAAAATCGAGATTTTTCAACTTTAGCATTTTTTGTGTCGAAACTATTCATTATTGGTCAAAACGGCTCTCATGTCCCTATCTCAACTTGTGATTTACTATCTACTGACATTTATTTGAAGTTGAGATAGGGACATGAAAGCCGTTTTGACCAATAATGAATAGTTTCGACACAAAAAAATGCTAAAGTTGGAAAATCTCGATTTTGAACACTTCATATCCCTGAAACCATTACAGCTAGACCCCAAGTGTGATGCATTGATGAAATCAGCTATTCGGGGAGAATTCAAAAGTGCAATAAAATATAAGGTGTTCCATTTGAAATAACAAAGTTGTTGCTTCTTTTCGTTAGAAGCGGCAACGCCGCAGGGCTGAAAATATTTCAGAACAATGTCCCCCTCGAAAATGTAGTTGACGTGTTTCAGATATTTTTGAAAAGGCTTTTAGTTTAGGATATATCGAATTTGTTCCATACTTTACGGACACAGTGTATGTCACAACGTACGACACATTTTTTTTCTATTATATGAGTCAACTAGAAATATGATGTCTGAGATTTCTCCATATTTAGTGAGAAGAAGGAAAAATATCATTTGAAATAATGGCGTGTGTAATGTCATTCCAAAGCAATCTATTGACATTTGACATCTCGTATTTGGATTGAATATTGATTAAATGGCCGTCATCTGGTATGCTTGCTGACTAAATAGGAAAAATTCGCCATAAAAATCATATTTCCTGTTGAATTTTCTATCTTAAAATGTTTCATTGAAGTACATCATGAAGATATAAAGTGTCCAATGACAAAATAAGAGCAAGGAGCTGTAAATGCATCCAACAAAAGCAGGGGAGAAAGAAGGCGAAATTTCGAACTGTTTCTTGAAATATCTCGATAAATAGTGGATTGTTCACATTTTCATTATCAAAATCGTGTTTTTCAGACAAAAATTCGTGAGTACCAAAAAATATTTTCGAAAAAACACCCATCGCATGATGAATGCAGTTTTACCAAAAATTGTCAAGTGAATAAAGATTTTTTTGAAATATCCCATCATAGGATCACACACTGTAGAATTACTATTATTGGCCAATAGATTTTTGAACTCGATGTTGTGCTCTAGAAATTCACATTCAAATAAAATTTCAAAATTTGGAAAAAAGGAATTTTGGTAATAAAAGTCGAAACATTCGAGATAAAAGTTGAGATTTCGATATAAACGGCGAATGTTTCACTCTGAAGTTGAAATTTTGGAAACAAAATTGAAATTTCCAGCTAAAAATCAGAATCCTCATAAGATCCGGTACTTGTAGATCGGCAAGCAAAAAATATGAAAACCATCAGAATTGGTGTCGAATTTGATCTAAAAGCATTGATATATTAACTCACCGGCATCCTTTCCTCACTTTGGGTACACTTTTCAATGTTCAAAAATTCATATTCAAATAATCTAACAGTCAGTTTTCACCACACACGTACACATTTGCGTAGTTCACGATATACTGATAATAGACTCGACTGTTCTCAGAACAGTGTTCTGTAATCGAATGATTCACAATTTTTTTCTCGATCTCGATACGATAAACAGTCACCACTTTTTGCATGAAACATTCCATTAATCGGACGTAAATATAACAGAGTGTCAAAGTAAAGTTTGAAGATGTTCAGGACGATACAAATAAACATGGTGACCAAGTATTACCAATATAATATATTTCTAGAATCAGTAAAACTTGAAAAAATGATAATGGTTTTTTCAATGAACATAAAATATTTCTTCAGAAGGGTATTGAGGATTTATTTTGCCAACTGGTTTCTTGGATATTGAAAACGTAATTTATATATTTATACAACGTGATGTATGGAGAGTATTTTTTTTCAATTATTCAATTGAAATGAAGAATGAACCTAATAATTTTCGTTCGACTTGTTCCTACAACTACACTATAATATTGGGGAGGGTCGAAATACAGGGTGTCCCACCTCTTCAACAAGGAAAAAATTTGTTTCGATCCAACGGAAGTCATCAGGTAACACTATTGTACAATCGTCTTCAGAGATCATGTCGCGGTTGGACGGTGTCAGCGCTCTTATTGCAGGGTGGTTCAAGATTCAGAATTCTGATCACCCTGTATCTGTTCCAATTAAATCTCAGTAGATTGTAAATCAGAAGCTCAGATATGGACATGAAAGCCGTTTTGACTGATAATAAATAGTTTCGACACAAATAAATCCTAAAGTTAAAAAATCTCGATTTTGAACACCCTATTTCTCTGTTATCATTTCCGCTAGACACCAAGTGTGATACATTGATGGAAGCAGCTCTTCAGGAATAATCCAAAAATGCAATGATATACAGGGTGTTCCATTTGAAAATCGAAAGTTGATGCCCGTTACGCTTCAAGGTTTCAACTTTGGAATATAATAATTGAAGAAAAATGTGTTCCCCGCCAAATTGAAATCGACCTGTTCGAGCAATTTTCAATTTTTTTTAATGAACTGTAAAACTCAACATGTGGATTAAAATACTTGTAGTGCGAGCACCACATGAGCACACATGAGTTTTTCACTAGTCCATCGGATATTATCTTTCGAATGTAGCGAAATATTCTCGGAAATATTGGAGCTCTGCCACTAACTTAGATCAGTTTGAATCGCGGCACGTTCGGATATTCGCAGAAGGTACTTTTTTTTTCTTTACTTTTTGTTTCAACTCGTTATCACATGACGAAATTATGTCTGGAATAACAGCAGCAAATAAATTATTGTTGTGCCGTGGAGTCAGCTCAGACTGAGGGGTGGCACAGGCAAGTTTTTGAGATCTACCATTCAATTGGTAGCGGATGGCATAATTCTTATCTCGTTATGAAATCGCGAAATCGAGTGCAAATTTCCGCACAGGAAAGTGCAATTATTCAATCATTTTGCTCAGGATAGTGATTGGCACAGGTGCCGTTTGATAAACCAAGATGATGTTTCCACATTCCTTTGGGACATAAATTATTCCGTTATCAGTATTGACTCTCGAAATCTGCAGCCAGTTCTCCTACAACAAGAACAATTATGTTACTACATAAGTACATAAAAGAAAATGTTTTATCAATGCTCTATTGATTAAAAAGATGAAATTATTTGAGCATATCAAGTTCGAAAATATAATATATTGTAGGCGAAAGAAGTAGGAAGCACAATAGTACGGACGCCATATGCAGTAACTGAAGTGACAGTCACGGATGTTATAGATGAAAATCCGAAATTCAGAAACAGTTTCCATGAATGTGAAATAGCAGAGAATTATCCCATCAATTTACGCCACTGACTATGTATTTATATGACTACGACCAGGTGAGTAAATCTTGTGAATCAATGATCGTCAAGTTTTTTTACACTTGTAAATGAAGTGCAAGAATAAAATCATTCCCTACATTCTCTCGCATTTTCAACCCAATTTTCAATTTACTCTCGTTGTCATTACCTCCCAATCTGTAAAAACTATGTTTTCATCCTTCAGCTATAGGCTTGAAAATTTGGCAAAACCACCGAACAAAAAGGGTTACTTTGCCAACAGCGACAAAACTCATTTAAAATCACTGTTTACCCTCTAAATTGGTGACATTGCTCCCGTTGAATGTTTTCAAAAATGATATATTCATTATAAAAATATCAGAGAGGAAATATAATATGTATTAACAGTACGTGCAGTCCAGTATGTGCACACTGCTCGAGCCTAAATGGGAAATGTATTGAAGGAAAAACACATCTACATCATTTTCTCACATAAAGATAAGGTGAGATAAGATTTTACTCAATTCCCCAATTCATGATTTTTCCACTCGCCGAGTTGGAATTCGCTTTTCCAGACATCTGCACTATCTGCAGTGATGTAACGATTCCGAGTTTGATTACGCAACTTTGCACTTCGTAACTTGTTAGAATGAAGTTCGCTGTTTTGAAATTTAATGGATGAACTTGAAATTAAAGGGATGACTATGCCATCCACAGGAGCCATGGCGAATGTGTGAACTGCCGAATTAAAGAGAACAGTAGAAACTTTCTGGGTTGAGGGATATTTTATATAGCCCATTAAGTTCGCTAATTTTATAAAACAGTTTTTTTTTATTAGAGAATACACCAGACTACACCGAAAAGATTGCTGCTGTATGAACTGAAAGAGGATAAAACTCAAAATTATTCACTTTATCTTTTATTTTGAAAGATTTCACATGATTTCCATTAGAAATTATTTTGTCGAGAAATAAGAGTACTTTTTATACTACACACTCAAACAATTTTTAAAATACATACATTCAATAAGTTTTCCATAGACATATTCTATCAATAGAAAAACGAAATTGTTCTACAAAATGCAATATATCTTCAAGCACAAGAAATGATTAAATGATTAAATGTCATAAACTCTTCCACCTCATCTTGATTCGTCCAGGTAATCTGAAAATAAGATTGTTGAAGGATGTTAAGCATTGGAGTCCAGTGTAAGAATAATATATTAGGGCGTTTCGGATTTTCGTATTTTAAAATGAACGCAACATATTCATCTCAACACGAGTACAAAATTCCGACCCTGTATAGTGACATTAAATTATGACGACATTGAAGTCACGTAAGAACCCACTTTAGAATTAGTCTGACTATTTCACTCATCCTAAAATTCTCAGATAATCTGACCAATCACAAGCCAAAGATAACTTGTATTTTCAATAGTAATTTTTTTTATCGCTTGGAGCGTACGAAAGGGAATCCCTATAATGTATAATACTACAAGTACTTCAAAATCTTCGGGTTATACATCGATAACTTGTTGCATAATCAGTGTCAGTTTAACAGTTGAAATTATCCGACCGCGAAGCGGGAGGATTATTCTGTTATTAAACTGACACGATTTGTAATTGTGCAGGAAGCTTGAGATGAATAACCTTGAAGATTTTGAAGTACGAATCGTATTCGATGCGATTATTTTCTTAGTAGATCTGAACGAACGTCTTTGTATGTAACAATATGAATTGGTTACTATGGAAATGGAAATAATTCAGCATTTCTCATTGGTGGGACCACTCTACGTATATAAACGTATATTCGAAATTATTCAATTGTTAGAGAGTCACTATTCATGGTAGCTAGAAACGCCCTGTAAGTGAAGCTCCTGGGCGGATATGAGTGTTGACCTGTTGATGACACATGAGGATTATGTAAAGGGTGACGGGTAGTCAGTAGTATTTATCTATGTATGAGACATTATCAAGTTAGCCGTGATACGGTCAGGTTGTGTGCGTGAAATAATTATTGTGAATATAGTGGGTAATTGTGAATACAGAGTGTTTCATTCCAATAATCAAGCACCAAGGTAACACAAGGTAGCTTGACTCAATTGAACGTTCTGATTGGTTTAAAATCATACGCAGAAAATAATCGCGAAAACACTAGCTGCCTTACAGATCTGATTGGTCTATCAGCGTTGGCGTTTTCAACGATGTAACCAGGAATGGAAAAATTCTTGGAGTAAACAGTATTCACAAGAATAAGAGAAGACGAAAAAGCAGTGATAAGATTGCTTCATTCCAGTTATCATTGTATATAGGAAGTTAGAACTGTGGTTATGATCATTTATCATCTTCGTCATCGTTTTTTATTCTGTGGAATAATATGACTAGTCCAACAAAAATACTTCGAGCACAGTTTCATATCATTATTATGTAATTGAACACAAGAAGGCATTGAATAAGAGAATTTTTTCGTAGGCGGTTTATGTCTGCTATCGAAAATCTGCCTTCTGCGATTGTTACAAGAAGTACTATTCAGTAATATTTATCGAAAATAAGAATTATTTGATAGGAATTCTTTTTTTCTTACAAAAGTTCGTGATATTTGAAGTATTTCAACTATTTCAAAATAATGAATGGAAACGAAATGCAAAATAACATAACCTGAAATTGAAGCATTCTTATTTCGCGATTCTCATGGTATTTGTAGTAATGAAACATACTTTATTGAACAAATATCTGCTGAAAAGCTCCCTCGAATCATAAGAGTACACAACTAAACAGTCGATAATGAAGTTTTTTCTGCTTGTATCACCAACAAAAAATCGAAAAATACCCACAAGCAAATGAACTATTTCAAAACAATGAATGGAAACGAAATGCAAAATAACATAACCTGAAATCGAAGCATTCTTATTTCGCGATTCTCATGGTATTTGTAGTAATGAAACATACTTAATTGAATGAATATCTGCTGAAAAACTCCCTCGAATCATAAGAGTACACATGTAAACAGTCGATAATGAAGTTTTTTCTGCTTGTATCACTAACAAAAAATCGAAAAATACCCACAAGCAAATGAACTATTTCAAAACAATGAATGGAAACGAAATGCAAAATAACATAACCTGAAATTGAAGCATTCTTATTTCGCGATTCTCATGGTATTTGTAGTAATGAAACATACTTTATTGAACGAATATTTGCTGAAAAGCTCCCTCGAATCACAAGAGTGGACAAATAAACAGTCCAAAATGAAGTTTTCTATGCTTCAATCACTACCAAAAAATTGAAATAATACACACAAGCAATTAAAACATTTCATATCAATAAATGGGAACGAAATACCAACTAACGTAACCTCAAATTTGGGCATTTTTATTTTGAGAATCTCATGGTGTTTGCAATCGTGAAACATACTTTATTGAAGGAATATCTGCAGAAAAGCTCCCTCGAATCACAAGAGTACACAAATAAAAAGTCAAAAATGAAGTTTTCTCTGCAATTTCAAAACAATGTACTTTCATATAGTTCCACAACCGGCCACTTTGGCGCTGCGATCTTAAATTTAGTACAGAGACTGCATTTAACACAGTGACGACAATGGCATGTCATCTTTTCTATTGGTCGATAGAAATCCGCCATGTTCAGGCAAAACCCGCGGCAAATTTGAATGACTAGAACTTTGTGTTGAAAGGTTGAAATTAGTAGTGTTTTTCTGTGGTTTTCCTGTTTTTTTCTCATGCAGTATTATTTTCCATTTGATCAAATATTTACACAGAACATAATATTGGCAAATTTAAGAATATTTTTAATGATCATAATAATAATGATTCATGTAATAATTAAAAAATCCGCTGTCCGCCATGTTTAGGCAAATTCCCAAGCGCTGATTGTGTCAGAAATATGTCTGTGTATTTCTGTGGTTTTGTTGTTTACCTCATGCAGTAGGTATTTTATTTTCTATTCGATCAAGATCAAATATTTCTGCAGAACATAATATTGGTAAGTTAGGAAATATTCTCAATAATCATGGTTTAACCTCATTTATTTATTTTTTTAGATTTTCTACCTCCATTTTTATAAGTTGCATATTTATTTTAATGTGGCTGGAAATTGTATTACAGTATGCAGGTTTGCAATAACTTTATTGAATTGGACAGCTTGGGTGATCCAATAAATTATGTGAAAGCTTCAAGAAGCCTCTTATGAAGACTTTGCATGCAGGATGGATTCCTGATGATGAAATATGATATGTTGTCCATAGCTCCACTCTCCAGCTACCCCATGTGATTGAGAAGCTATAGAATACCAAACATATAAAGAAATAATCAAGCAGTGACTTGAAACAGCATGAAATTATAATTACTTGAAGTATGTGCATTGAAAATGTAGAATTATCAGTGTATGTGTATTAAATTGAGTGAAGTTCATGGAAGACAATGTAGAATATTGGTTGACAATGACAATGTGATGAAAATAGTAAAAAACTAGTCATTAATACAAAAAGACATTGATTTGCACAAACTAGTATGATGTTTTGTTCTTATACAAATGTCAGTGATTTCACTATGCTGTATTTTGACTATTATTTTGACAATATTAATTATTAATTACAGATAATTTTTATGGAAAAAGTTCATTTTATTTCTCACATATCTCACAAATATACTGCCAGACACATAGGTGATTGACATTAATCAACACTGATGATTAGTATAGGTATATTTTTTTACAACTATGTAGTAATTTCACCATTATTATAGTTATCAATTTACTGATATTTGATTATTTCTCCTGAACATAACAAATTAGGTATGATTTAACAAAATGATCATCATTATAAATACAAAATTAAACTGGAAACTACAAAATTTCACAAATCTCTTGCCCTAGTGGATAAAGGTACCTACTTACTAGAAAGTGGATTTAAAATGATATTTTCACACAATATAATATCTCATCTGATATGTGTCCTAGAAAGTACATAAAATATTGATTGATTTCCAGCAAGTAAACATCTAGTCCATTCACATTTTCTCTTTCCATTAACAAATCTTATGGACACACAACACCTACACATTTAGTAAGACTGGCAAGCTGTATAGTCTTTAGTCTATTCATAGAATCAAAATGGTCAGTTCTTGGATTACCAATTATTATCATTGGAAGTACATATGAGATCTGTTTTAATTTCTGTGGGTTACCATTGGTTTACTTGAGAGAGGAATTATATTCCAGATTGCCATGTCACCTTCTCTGATGTTCTGATCAATACACCATTTTTGTCAGATATGTTGTCTTTACTGTGTTTTTTTCATCCAAAAAATCCTGTATGCAGAATTCTATTTCATTGTAGTTTGGAAGTAGACAAAGTATAGGTACATTTTTACCTCAGAAGCTTTACATATTTTCTTTTTCCTTCAAGTTGAAATCATCACTCCTGGAAAAAGTAAGTACTTATTGAAAGTAGTCATTCCTGATTCTCCCAGAGATCTAATTAGACTGTTTTCAATAACTCAAACTTTTACATACTGATAGAAAACTTGTTATTCCTTTGAGTTTAGCAAAGTCCATGTACCTATCTGTGGGTTTGAGTACCAGCTTCCGAGTCTTTATTGGCTGCTTTTCAATTCTTCTTCTGAAACTAAGTCATCTACATAGCCTAACCTGATCTATATTCATTACATTGTTTGAATAAAGTGAAATATAATTATTTAATTCTAAATAACAACAAAATGCTTATCAAAATATCCCAAACAAAAAACATAACCAAATAATTAGACAAAGACAGAGTATTTGACATTAGCCTAAACATGGCGGATGCCAGCCCGTTGTCGTCACTGTGTTAAATGCAGTCACTGTAAAATTTAGTACAGTGACTGCATTTAACCACAGTGGCGACATTGGGCTGGCAGCCGCCGTGTATAGGCTAATGTCAAATGTTGTCTTTGTCTGATTATTTGGTTACGTATTTTGTTTGGGATTTTTCGAAAAGCATCTCGTTTGTTATTTCAATTACAAAAATGATATATTTGTTTTTTCAAACAATGTAATGAATATAGATTAGGTTAGGTTTCAAATGGATACTCAAAAAGGAGCCAATAAAGACTCGGAAGCTGGTACTGAAACGAGACCAGAGGTAGGTACACTGTTTTACGTTTTTTACTTTGACTGTTCTCTCAAATAAATCACAAGTTTTCTTTCAGTAGGTAAAGTTTGAGTTATATAAAACAGTTTAATTAGATCTCTGGGAGAAACAAACATATGCAATCTTCAGGAATGACTACTAGGTTTCCTAGGAGTGATGTTTTGAAAAAGATGATATCAACAGCTTCTAATTGGTCATGTTATGGGTAGTTTTTTACTATTTCCATCACATTATATTCCATAAACTTCACTTCAACCACATAGGTACACTGAAAATTCTACATTATCGTAACACATATGCTTCAAGTGTTCATAATTTCATGCTCTTTCATTCAGATTATTTCTCTATATGTTTAGTATTATATAGCTTCTTGATCAAATGGAGCTATGGAAAACGTATAATTTATCATCAGGAATCCATCCTGCAACTGCTAGACCCCAAGTATGATGGGTCATTGAAATCAGCTCATCAGGGAGAATCTCAAAATGAAATAATATATAGGGTGTTCGATAGAAAAAAGTTTAACTTCAGTGTTCTATGGTTTTTGGGGACACCCTGTATGTTTCGAAATAATTTTAAATGGTAGCCTATGTTGACATGCAACTTCCTAGAGAGGAAGAATTCCAAGAAGATAAGTGGTTAGCCTTCTAGAGACCGAGGCGTTACTGGTGGCCCACCCTGTATGGGTGTAACTAAATAAGTGTAAAACATTTAAGGGGGTGATTCCTCATCGAAAAAAAGATAGGATCTTCCATATGAAGAAACTTCATTGGATCATCCCATGTTAAGATACAGCTCCTTGAAGGGGGTACATTAAATTTGTTCAACAATTTTTTTCACAAATTAAGGATAGAACAACAATACACAATTAGTATCACTTCCAGTTTGAAAATTTACAAACTGACAGCTTGATACCAATTTAATTGTCACTATCGCTTATAGCGGCCTACTAAATTAGTTTCGTATTTTCGTTTTATATCGATATGTATGTTGTTCGTAAAATAATTTGTTGCTGCGAACTGGTTTATTTTGGGCAAAACATTCAAGGGACATTTTTTGATTAGAATGAAACAGACTATCGGAAATACATTTTTAAATGGTAAACAAATAATAAGACAAAAACTTACATTGGAAATAAAATCTAGGGGTTGCGTTTTCCACCCCTTACAACCATGGGGTAAACCAAATTAATTACTGACCAAGTGTCTTTTTGGTAGTAGAAAATGTCAGATTAATTTCGATACTGAAACTTTTTTAGTGCTGGTGAAAACAATTTTAAAACAAATTTTATGTACCCCCTTCAAGGGGCTGTATCTTAATATGGAATGCTCCGATGAAGTATCTTTATATGAAAGATCCTATCTTTTTTTCAATGAGGAATGACCTCCTCAAATGTTTTACACTTATTTAGTTACACCCTGTATTATGTTCTGCAGAAATGTTTGATCGAATGGATAATAATACTGCATTAGAAAGAACAATCAAACCACAGAAAAACACTTCTATTCTCAACACAAAGTTCAAATCATTCAAAGCCTCAGATTTTCCTTAAACGTGGCGAATTTCTATCGACCAATGTCATTGTCGTCACTGTATTCAAATGCAGTCCCTGTAAAATTCAGTCGCCTATACTCACATCATCTGCCAGCCGAATCGAATCAGTGCCCGGCATTGGAGAACCTCGACCTGTCGCTCCCCCCCGCCATCGACGGCCCCCCGCCCACGCCTCTGCCGAACAGGCGTCGCGCATTGTCGTGCGCCTCCGAAAACGCCCGAAGGCGGTCGGCCGCCGGCGCCGTGGGAGCCACGAAGGGGCGCGGGGGCGGCGCTGAGGTCTGCCCCACCAGAGAGGCGAGCGACGTGATGTCGGACAGGCTGCCGCCCAACAGACTGCGGCTCAGGGCGGGCAGGCTGGACGTCTTGTTGGTCAGGGCGGTCAGCTTACTCAAGCCTAGGGTAAGAATGCTACTGTGAATAGGTGTCCAACATTCGTTTTAACCCTCAAGTACTACCCACGGGTCAAACTGACCCAGTGATATGTTTGAAATACTGTATCTTTGACACTCACACAATAATATGTTGCCCTCGCTGAAATTCTCCTGTAATATACCGGGTGGCTACGGAAGTATTGCCTACGGAATATCTCAGTAGTTATTGTATGAAGTAGGTTTGTGAAATTTGGAGCGTCGATATAATGACATAAGAGCTAGAATTTGAGCATATTGACATGTCGAAGTTAACTTCCGGTCTGACCGGAAGTAACATCAACTTTCTTATTTTGAATGGAAACCCTATTTTTTTTTCTATTCGCTTTACTCAGCATTCAATTCCCTTTCTAATGACATATCACAAGTTGGTATCTAACCATCAGAAACTAGATCAGAAAAAAATTATTATTGAAATTCACCGAGTAGGCCGTGGAAGCAAAATGAAAGACAAAAAATGACTTTCTATTATATCATTAGAAAGGAATGGTTATGCTGAATAGTACAGACAAGAAAAAGTTGTATGTTCCTATTTAAGTTATGGACCTACAGAGTATTGTTTTTTTCCCAATTTTTCCAATATTTTTGTTGGCGGCTTTTTATAACGCCGACGAATGAAAATAAAATATCACAGTAGTAGCAAGTGTTATCGAGTGACGTATGGTTTCCATGGCTAACTTTTCAATTTTTGGCTTTCATTTTGCTTCCACGACCTACTCGGTGAATTTCAATAATAATTTTTTTCTGATCTAGTTTCTGGTTAGATACCAACTTGTGATATGTCATTAGAAAGGGAATTGAATGCTGAATAAAACGAAAAGAAAAAAAAATAGGTTTTCCATTTAAAATAAGAAAGTTGATGTTACTTCCGGTCAGACCGGAAGTTAACTTCGACATGTCAATATGCTCAAATTCTAGCTCTTATGTCATTATATCGACGCTCCAAATTTCACAAACCTACTTCATACAATAACTGAGATATTTCGTAGGCAATACTTCTGTAGCCACCCGGTATATTTCTACAGTTTGCTGTAAACATGAGAGCGACAGAATTCGCAGAAATCTGCCAGTGAACTGTTTTGGGTCATTCTGACCCGTGGGTAGTTGAGACGTCTCAAATCTTATATGATGTTTGCCATTGTTGTTTGTATAGGTAGGTAAGATAATCATTTAACCGTTGGAGGTTTTCCTGCTATTTTCACATAAGTTTGGATTGAATTCTTACACGGTAGTGATATCCTACTATGAGAGTTGTCTAACTTATTTACAAATCATTTTTGTAACGCAGAAAATGGATCCGAGAGTATACCATACAATGTTCGCTCTATTGCATCTGGTATAATGAAAATACCGAATCCAACACATCCCATGGTGCCACCTGGGGTTAAACAAAGACTTGGTGCATCATAAAGAAGAAGATACGATGTCTATCAATGTCGAAATGACAGGAAAGCCAGCAATAGCTGCCACAAGTGCTCAATCCCTTTTTGTGGACAGTGTGCGAAAAATATCTGCCCAGAATGTTCTTCCAATTTTGTTCAACTTATTTCAATGTATATCCATAATGAATATCACATGCTCAGTTGAATATCTTTTTCATGAAGCTGGAAAAAACCTCAACATTTACTACGGGTCAATTTGACCCGCGGGTAGTAGTGACGTTATTTTCATTGGGGATAGTATTTGCGGTACTGATCAATTCGATACTGGTTTAAATTACGTCACTCGGTGTCTTTCACGGATTGCCGAAGTCGAGCCAAAACCTAAATATCAGTTAACCCTCTTGAAAGAGTAGGTAAAAAAACAAGAGTCTCCAATAGCCACCGCAAGTGAATTTGAACATAGTGTCCTTGTTTTATATTGCGGCTAGAGTACTAATAGGTTCAATTAACTATTGGCATTTTATTCTAAGGTGAATAATGACATGGAATCGGCGAAATAGTTCTTGCGTTTTTCCTAGCGTTTTCCCAATAATTCAATATCATTTCGGATTTTAGGTATAAGGGCAACGCTAGCTCGGTCCAATTAGTTTTCTTTTCTCAAACAAATATTTTACAGGGGCCTGAGATGAGTTTATAGCTTTTTGCCGAAAGACAATAGTTTCTTGGAAGAATTACGAACTGTCAAGTGAAACTTGTTGGTTTTGAAACATCATGTTAAATGTTGTTTATGGTTTTCCTCGGACGGATATCGGGGTAGTAGAGATTTGTAAACATGCAAAGACCACCCGAAAGAATGAATAAGCGCACATGATTGATCATATACAAATTGCCGCATGCGTTTGCGCCTCTAATATCACGTGATATTCTCAGCATACAAAAGTAATGTTTTAGACAATTTTGAGGAAGTTCGTTTTTGAGTTTTATTTTGTTCAGGTATGTCACGTGATGCGGAACGCTGGTAAAAGTCATATCATAATCTTCACTGGGTTGAAGAGTTATCAACTATTCGAGTTGGGCAAGAAGTACTCTTTGAACCTTTGTTGGTAAGTAGAAACATATTAATTGAGGTGGTGTCAAGTCAGGTTGATAAATTAGTAATCAAGATAGATAATCAGTTATGAAAGACCATCTCGTTTACATTATGGCGAAAATCGATAAAGTTGAGAGATACAGTCTAATTGCCAGAACCATAACCTCCAGTTCCAGAACAGGTATACTTGTAGTTCCTCAATCGCAGAGACTCTGTTAAAACTCAACCCTGGATCATAGACAGACTAGGTGACGCATCATACCCATGATTTTTCGTGTATTTATAAACCGCACGCAGAGCACCAACCCGACGGTACCGAACTTAAACGAACTCTTTCGACTGTCATCACCAAATTCCTTTGTTTGTCAGTATTTTTATCGGTATTTTCTCGTTATATGGAATTTTATTCGTTATGATTTTGCTTTCCTTCTGAACATGAGGTTGGAAATGAGTAAATAATAATAACATCCTGCCTAATATGCCCAAACAAATTTGGAAAGAGTACCAGGATATATTTTCACACGTAAGTACCATGTACATGGGCGTAGTTGAAGAATACTGAAATTTATACAAAATCATCAGTACTCAACGAAAGTACACAGAATAACCCATTTGAGCCACAAAAAGAATCAGAGAGACCATGGTGTAAAGATATTGTCAGCCTAATCTCGGTACAGAGTGTTATGAAGATTAATTTTGGAATGAAAATGAAAAGTTTTGAAATAAAACTGATGAAATTTTGATTTCAAATGATTTTTTCAACATGAAATAGCATGAGAATGAATAGTTGCTTGCATTTACATTTCCATTTCGATACCTAATAAATAACAGTAAATAATTAATAGGATAATATGTATACTTTTAGTTTTATATCTTGAAAGTTAATGAAGAAAGTTGAAAGAAGGTTGAAATTGATCAGAGAGTATTGAAATACTTTTGACTTGCTCTTCCAATAGTCATATATTTTTTTATAATTTTATAGCAATTACAACAAAATGGGACAATGAAATTGAATAAAGTGTGATATGAAAATGTTGTCACATTCTATTCCACAGTTCAAAGGCAATTGACCTCAAAGCCAAAAAAATTGCCTGCGGCGCATTTTTTAACATACAAAGAATGTCTCTGAGTTCCTTGCCCGCCCCCTGTATACACTGAAATGGCGCCCTTGCATCAGTCTTGTCTTCATACAGTGTATCCCACTTATAACTAAAAACCCCTTATAAAATCCACATTTTACAACCGATTTCAAGAGTCAACGTTGGCAAGCAATAATTTTATTTATTGGGAAGAAAGGTAGAGGATGAAGGCGTTCAATCCTCGGAGCCTAGAATATCTGAACAATTCGGTTCTGCAGATGACGTCGATTTCATCAAGTCATGCGACCGATATGGCTGACTGCACTTTAGAATTGATACCATAATTTCTATGCAGCGCTTGAGATTTCAATCTCAACTTGACAGCGAGTTAATGAGCGCAGCATCTATATTGTCCTCTGCGCAATCATTATTTCCTGCGGTATTTTTTAGAAGCCAGAATTCACAATAATCCATCGATCATACGAGAGGACCTTCGGCCCATGTGTGTTCTGTGTAGGCTTTACTGAACTTCATACGCCAACTCAGGGGCACTAGAGTGCCTCGAACATCTCATTTCACGCCCTTTAACCCTTCAGTGGTTACGCTCAGAGACCGTAGGCAACCATTTTCACCAATAACATTTGTTTCAATGTGTGTTGGCGTTTTGAATCGATCAGTAGTTTCAAGTTGGCTATCGTTTTGGGTAGCCTAGACCAGCGTCACCACTGGTGTTACCATAACCTTGTTGAGGTTATTTCCTCAAAATTGAATTATTTCCATTTTTAATTAGAATTCTCTTTAGACATCGAAAGGTTGCTAGTTCGAATCCCGGCAGAGCAGAGTTTTCATTCATAAATCAAGTTATGAAATGTAATTTTTGGTAGCCTTGGCCGGTGATGATTCCGCTGGATTCGCTGTTGCGTTCCAATTAACAGAGCTGCTCTCAAGGTGTCGTATGGAGTTAGTAATAAAGCCTATACAGAACACACATGGCTGGAGGACCTCTCGTAAGATCGATGGCCAGTTGGTATGTACATACACAACAACAAAGTACATTATATTATGATGTATATAAATATAAATATCTTATATTAGTGCAATGCCAACATGGAATCGTAAGACGAAGTCACCACTGAAGGGTTTTCACGCCCTTTGAAAAGTGTGGACATACTTGTCATGTTGTTAAACAGCTGAACAAAAAAACATGAGACACAAATATGTTTTATTAGAGATTGACTATATTTTTCTGGTACCCCTTCATTGAACGTGTGTAGACATTTCAAATCCTCACAGTGGTGTAACACCAAAAGTACATAAAGCTCATTTTGTAGTTCAAAATTACATCATTGAATGTATTTCCATAAAATGAATATTAGAATTTGAAGCTTCAACGAACACCCGAAATGTCTTCTCGTCTTTGGGTAACTCAAATATAAATGGTAATCATCATTCTAAGAATTTGTGGAATCCGTTACCGAAGAAGACATATTCGAAAACATTTCCGCCGGAACGCCAATTCAATTTTTAAATCTGAGAATGATCTAAATTCGGAAATGTCAGTGGTGACAAGCGTGTTCACGCTCTTTAGAGGGCGTGTTATGAGATCTTCGAGAGACTCTACTCCAGCCGAGGCTACAAAATTCGCTTTATAAATGAGAAATCTCTGCTCTGCCGAGGACTCTAACTCACGACCTCCGACTCATCAGTCGAGTGAACACCCACTGTGTATTCCGCGTCGTAGCTACTAACAAATACGATATTTTCATGAGAGTACTTCAGAGTAAGGATTTCATGTAATAACCTCAAAATAATCGCACATACAGCAACAATGGCACTGGAAAAATATAAAGAAAGAGTGGGAAAAGACTAGGATCTCAAACCTGAAATGGAAACAACAAAACAAACATTTGGACAAATAGAAAACTTACTTACTAGTTATGAAAACATTTTCTGACAGTCATAGATGAAAATAAAAAAATTAAAATCAAAAATCTAATAAATGCGTAGTTTTTCAATCAGGCCATATAAATATAAATAATCTGCATTCCAGGTGCCTATTTAAAGAAAGTTACCAGACATTTCTGACAGTAAAATTAGACGATTCAGCAATACCTTCCCATAAATGAAAGTACTCCGATAAACTGACAAAAAACTTTCAAGCAGAAGTATTTTAAATCTATCATAAGTATGACTCTGAAATTTTGTAGAAACGATTTGAGAACTATCCATGGAACACATTCCCAATTTATACTACTACAGAAAAAAGTGAAAACATTAATCTGGGAGATTAAAAAAATACAGAATATCAATGGTTTTTTAAATTTTAGAAAGTTGTTTTACCATTTCATTCAATTATCTGATCACTCTTTCTATATTGTTTAGCTTTATTTCATTGTCTATTGTGGAATACTGATTGGTATTGTATCATAATATGAGATCTATTGATAGGTACAACCATAACAACTACATAAGGTTTTAAATTGACAAAAGTAACATTTACTGACGAAATTTAGATGGATAGAACACATATTTATTTTCTACCTTTGATTCCAAAGTTCATTCACAAAGTGTCCTCATGAAGAGGAAGGGGATTTTCATGATCAGATTTAAAAATCCACTACACTAATTGAGACACACGTGAATTGAAAACATCCAGTTAGATGAAAAAAACGACTAAAATGATAAAAGGTAACTGAGCTCAATTGAATATCAGGACATCTAGCGGCACGTCAACGGTGTCAGAAGTATATCTAGAATTCATGTGTAGAACTATATACCAAATAAAAGTCAAATGACATCTAACGGTGAGATGATGAAGTCAAGTAGCGTACAAGAATGGTAACTGTAGAGACAAGAATGCAGAGAAAGGAGTATTAGATATTGTATAAGGATTTTCAGGATTTCACACTACTTCTCACTTGAGTCTGTTAAAGTTTCTACAAAATATTCAGAGTATACCAATGATGAGGATCTTGAAATAATGTAAAAGCCCTTCGATAAAAATTTGAAACTTCATCGTGTAGAGGAGAGTATCTAAAATAAAACACCCTAGGAATTCTCTGCTACGATTCCCAAAAACTTGATTTGCCCACATCCGTGATGCCAACAAATGTGAAACCTAAAAAAATCTACAAAAAGACATAATATTATACCTGAAAGTGCGCTAGCCAATTCCAAAGGATCGCTCTCCAGATTCTCCAAAATCCCCCCGCCGCTTTCAGTCGCGGCACTACTGTTGCTTGACAAATTGAGAGAAACGTTCCTCAAGGGCTCCCCATTGGCCCCCAATCCCATGCCGACGGCCCTGAGGCCGTCAGGCAACTTGAGATGCTCATTGGCTCTGTCGAGTTTGACACTCATCTTGCGATCGTACAGATGCTGACCATGGAGCATGGAGACGGCTTGGACCGCCTCGACCGGATGATCGAACTCGACGATGCCGAAACCGCGGCTTTTGCCTTCTTTGTCATAGGACAATTCAAGGTCGACGATTTTGCCGGCTAGCCGGAATATTTCTCTGATTTTTTTCTCGTTTACGTTATACTCGAGCTAGAAAATCGTTCGAACTCAAAAATGCTATGTGGAAGGAGATCGTGACGATTTCATGGAATGGATGTAGAACGTAGATCGAAAACATCGTCAGAGATATGCGGGTAGGTGAAAAGTATGGAACATAACTAACTTAGGGCCTATTTATGCATCATTGCCTTAGTCTCAGTCTTAGTCACAGTCTTTGTTGTAATCATAAAATCAAGTTATGAGCATACATTTCAATAGGTGAATTCATGCAACATTTTTAGTCTCAGTCCTAATCATTATCAATAAATCATGACCTTGAAAGTTACAAACTTTCAATTGTTATGCTCATGATTGAGACCACATAAGAAATGCGCATGTGTCGACCAGTCTACATATTTCAGAATCACATATGACTTTTAATTTTGTGTTTGTCACCAAAAAATCGTTGCCATTCTGTGCTGTGTCAATAATTGATTACATCATTCTGATAATTTGATTACATTTGAAAACAAATATCAAAAAATCATAAGAAAAAATTTCCCCATCTTTGGGACAAGAAAGACTCAGAATGCAAATATGAAATTGCGATAAAGAATTCCTGGAAATCATCAAAATTAGCTCAGAAACCTGCTCCAAAACTAAATATTAGAATTGGCAGTTGACATTATTGACACCTCAGTTGACACTTTTGACGGATTGTCAATTGTCATCATAATTCTTAAGCCCTCAAGTCCGTATGACACGGGCCAGTTTTTCACTCATAAAATGGATCATTATTGAACACAATGAAACATTCAGAATAATCTGAATCATTTTCTGTGGGAAAATTCTGTGCTGTGTGACAGGACATAAGATCACAGATAAGATATTGTGACAAGGGGCATGCGCATGTTATGAAATAATATAATATGCAGATGCACATGCCGGTTGTGCGTGTATAATAACCTAAAAATATATTTTTGGAAGAAGATATTCAAAATTGAAGAATTGTATAAGTAATAGTTTCACTTGAAAAATATCTTTCTGCAGTTCTGCAAAAGTGGGTGCTATGCTCAGCGTGTTTGTTTTAAAAAATCGGAATGGAAAAATATGAAAAAATTGTCTCGTGAATCGCTCCAAAAAAGAAACACCCGTGGGCTAAGAATTCTGAATATGGTACAAAATGATCACCTTTCTGGAAACCCTGTATCATATAAGTATCTACAAATTTCATAAGAATGAATAATGATCAGTTCACTTTTGTTCTGGACAAAATGAATTAAAAAATATACAAATATGCGAGAATGTATTTCGCCAGAAATGGGGTAGGTACTCAATCCACATTTCATCTTTGTCAAAGCATGTCAAAGCGTCAACTCGAGCGTTTCTGGGTGTTTGATTGCAAACAAACAGGGATATTTTCAGTATTCTTTAATCAAAGCACCAACATATGCTCCGAAGACCAAACCATTATAGAACTGGTGTTATCTATATTTGAGATAACAGTAAAATTGATCAATGGACATGTATTATTTGTAACTTATATACCAACAAAATGACATTACCATAACCTCAAAAAATTGTTTCCCACTTCAAAACACAACAAACAATTTGAAGGTTAAATAACGGCGTTATGCGCAAGCGCTCCAACATAAAATGAATGAAAAATAGGTTTCTATTACATCTATCAAAATTCTACAATACTAATAAGAAGTAGATTCATCATTCTTGCAATCAGAAAATTCAGATGATCACGTATAGTTCATATGAAGTTAATTGCATATGAAGTTAATTGAGACAGTAGTTTAGGGTTGGAGTATTATCATTATATATTTTATTGTATTTTTTGTAATTATTTCCATACTTTTCACAAACACGGTAACTCCAAGAAATAAATAAAAAGAGGAAAACTCAAAAACTGCAATGTGTTCATAAAAACTTTCCCTATTTAAAATTAGAAGTAAACATATAAAAAAGAAAACGTTGAGAATGTAGTTCTCAATAGTAAATAAGAACATGAAAAATGAAAATGTTCTATCCTTCCATTCCACACTAAAGAATCATCAGATACATCAATACGAAAATAGAATATCAAATGGTCCAAAATTCTTTCCTGAAAATATAAATATGATCACAAGACAAATTTTCAAATGCAGAATATAATAAGGCAAAAAGTAATCAGCCCATAGATATAAAACATAAACTCATCCACTTGTTCATCTTCACTGAGTATGATAAATTTGATATGTGTAACAAATACAATTAGAAACCTAGTAACTAGTGCATTCAACTTCCAGAAGAATCAAATGAATGTTTTTTTGAAGATAAAATCTAAGTGTAGTAAATAATTGACAACTCAACTGTAAATTCAAATGAAAATTGCAAGAAAAGATCATCAAAAAAATTCCGAAAGACAGACAAGTCAAATAACATAGTTATAATATATATATGATGCCAACTGTAAAAGAACTTCACCAAGTAATTAGAACTGAAAAGATAGCTGTATAAAATATGAAACAAACAACCTCGTGAATTTGATGAGCAATTCTTCATGTAGATTTTTCTTATAACTGATTATTCAATAATAGACGTCATCCATCTGAAAACGACAAGTAGTTGAGCATATATTCAAGACTAGAATATAATTCAAAATAAAATAAGTACCTGAAAACAATGACAACAATTATTCAGATATTGAAATGATATCGTGAAGATACAATTATTACAATAAAAAAAAATGAAACAAAACGAGCTGGTTATAAAAAATACTGTGAATAGCCATGAACGAAAAAATAATCTGATTTAAAATTTTCACAAAATTTACAATTCAAGGCAATTGTTATGACCTTATGATGGATATAGTGTTATAAAAATAAAGATTCCCGAGACGAAAAAATGTAAAAGTTGAGGTTGAATGACACTGAAGTAAATATAATGAAAAAAATGACATGATGTTTAAAAAAAGTTCATAATATATTCACTTCAGCCTTAAGACCATCTCATTTCCATATTCAAGTAGATTTGAGAATTTCCGAGATATAAATCAAAATTATATCTGCCGAATACTGACACCCAATCATATTTTGAAAAAGTTGCAAATAGGCAGAAACTCAAATTCAATTGCACTGGGCACTTCAGAAAGAAGGGTAGGTAGGTATTTTACTGTCGATTTCGATACAGGATGTAATTTATCATTCTAGAAAACCTCTGGATAGAGAACTATACACACATATACCTAGTATAATACTGAAAACCCAGTAGTGTCACTCTTTTGTGATGGTAATACAAAAATGAGCAGTTTTAGATTATTCTCCTTGTCCAAAGCAACCTTGCAAATAAAACAACAGTAGTTATTCATGTACCAAGGATGAAACACTGTCTATTCCAATTGAGGCTGCAAATTGATAGCCGAGGCTAGCAATCAGGCGAGACAATATACAGTTTTTCGCCGAGGTGCATATCACATTTTTTCGTCGACCTTAAACATATATATTACATATTATACATACCATTCAACTCGTCGGGAAGAATCTTCTTGCGGAATGTGATTATTTCTTTTGCGTATTCCATTATTATTAACTAATTTTGTCCCAGAATAGAATTTAAGAGAAAAATATAGATAAAATTAACATGTTTCAGAATAGATATGCTTATTTATCCCGAAAACGGTTCGTTTGTCGGAAAAAAATTGAAGAGCAAAAAAAGCCTCTGAATTGAGCGATCCACTATTTGCTAACCGGAAAATGTCAGAGGCATACTACGAAAAAGTTCGGGGGGGGGGGGGATAGAGTATCCTAAACCTCCAAAAACGTATCACCCTGTAGATTTGAAAAGATCGCTAGAATGCTTGAAATGATGAATTCCTTGAAAGTATCAACCACACCAAATTTCAAATTGGTATCTTCAAAAGTGAGCGAGATATTTCAATTAATAGAGAAAAATAATTGAACTTTGACCCCCTGTAGATAGCCGGAAAATGTCAGAGGCGTACTACGAAAAAATTTGGGGGGAATAAAGTAGTCTATACCTACAAAAACGTATCACCCTGTAGATTTGAAAAATCCCTAAAATGCTTGATATGACGAATTCCTAGAAAGTATCAACTACACCGAATTTCAAATTGATATCTTCAAAAGTGAGCGAGATATTGAGATCAATAGAGAAAAATAATTAAACTTTGACCCCCTGTAGATCCGCTACTGATCGAGATCAAACTAAAGTTAATATAAACTTTTTTAATTGGAATGATGAGATCTATCATTCATTTCTGTTTGTACCTCAAAACCTGAATTACCCTGTATATAATTGTATTTTCGTTTTCCAAAAATTTTACAAGCATCAAGAAGGGCAAGATTCACTAGTCTCAGACATTATTCTCAACTAGCAAATCTTCCATACCGTACTTGATACTCAATATACTATTTTGAAATATTTTCTCTGCTGTTATTTCTCCCATGGTATTTTTGTAATTCAAAATTGGTCTTTGACAAAGCCCCATTATCATATAATAAAAGGAAGAGAGCGAAACACTAGTAATATTATCATTATTACTACAAGTGAACCTACTGGGACTTCAGAGCATTATACCACGACTATACTTACATTTGCAACGAAAACTCTAGTAGTTAGAGGAGGCTCGATGTTCAGAGACTGGAGAAACTGAGGACTCAAACCATAAGTGTTACCCCAATTTATATCATCTCTCGGCAACAAAGGTGCAATATTATTCATGGAGAAATCATTATTGATGTTCCTGTCCATCTTCCTGTTCATGTTGTTACCACCTTTGTCATTTCCTCTGATGATATTACCATGTTTGTCCCGTACGTTGCCTTCGTCTGATCTTACAACCAACTGGCGACTACTTTGCCCACATTTCACTTCGTATCCGCGCATAGCCGTCAGACATTTGCCCACAGAGAGAAAGTCCGTGAACTCGACTATTCCGCTGCCTTTCGGGTTATCTCTGTCATCTACGAACATCTCGACGAAAGCCACCTCACCGACATTAGTGCGAAAAAGATCCTTCAGATCTTGCCAACGAAATTCGTAAGGAATGTTGGCTACATACACCCTGTTAGGAGATGGCCTCATGCAGCGTGGCTCCCTGCCACGATCCAGACTTCTGTCTCTGCCATTTTCACCTTCTGCATCAAATCTCGAATTGATCTCCCTGAGACGGCCTCTCAATTGGTTGAGTGTTATATCCATGATCTGAAAATTGCAATTCCTATTTATAACAAATGAAGGTGGAACCCCACTCCTCAAAGAATAGAGACCCTCCTTAATCGCCCATACACAATATTGTATTATTCAAGTTTATTTCTTGAATTAGAGTTCAATTGCTATAAGCATAATTTCAGGATTGAAAATTACTAGGTCAGGAATAGTTATCTCCATTATATCAACATAAAATGTTTCAAAATCCGTCTGATTTCATTTAGTACCCCCAAATGCTCAGAATGTAAATAAATACAGAAAAAGGTTGAATATACTTTGTATTATTCAATATATTATGACAAACTGCCAAAAGCTATAGTACACAAACTACACCTTTTCCAGTTGTATTTCAGATAGCTTCAATTAGGTAATCCAATGACCTGTCAAACTATGCGATGGTGCACATAAAGAAATTATTTATGTGTGATAAATCGTTTGATAAGATATGAGCTTTGTTCCTTCGTCTGGATTATGATCAAGACACGCATATCTTCTCTTCTCCTGATGACGACTTTCATTAACTTAATGAGGGATTGGCTTTTTGCCTTTCTTTTCAAAATTTTTAATAATTCCAACAGATATCAATCCAAAGTTCTTTCTTCGTCTTCACGATGCACAGGGCTCAGAAAATATAGGACTAACAATGTTACTGTATTGTTGCCCAGTTATCAAAGAGCACATCACCTACTTGATCAATTTCAGCTTCCAGAATAATGTATTCCCTGAAATATGGAAAACGGTATATATCATACCAGTCCCGAAGGTCAATAATCCTAAAGAACTGAAGCACCTACGGCCAATAAGCATTCTTTCAACCTTGTCAAAGGTCTGTGAGAAAGTAATGTGCCAACAGGTTACAACTTATCTAGATACATTTAGTATTATACCAATTAATCAGTCAGGGTTTCGTCAAAGTCACTCCTGGTTGATGATATACTGTCAGTAGCTGACAAAAACTTATTGACAGTGCTCGTCTTCATTGACTATAGTAAAGCTTTCGACAGAAATAATCACCGACTATTACTGGCAACGTTGCAGCAAATTGGATTCGATAAAAAAAACTGTAGAAATAATGAACTATTTATTATTGGGTAGAAAGCAATCAGTCAAGTATAAAGATAATATATCTATGCCCGAAGAAATCACACGCGGTGTCCCACAGGGTTCAATTCTGGATCCACTTTTATTTTCGATCTATACGTCATCTTGACAGGAATGTTTGATGAATTGTAGAAGTCAATTTTTATGCAGATGACACAGATTTTTCATTCTTTCTCTCCCACAGATGTCCTACAAAGTAATACCATAATAGTAGGTAGTCCCGGTCTCCAGTCCAGCCCCACCCCTCCACTTTTCTCCAAACCACGTGACTCGGCCGACCAATCACAGGCCGGCCTGACTCGGCTAGCTACTCGCGGCCCAGCGAACGGGTCGTCATCATCGGCGAGCAAAGCGAGAGATCCGTTCCAGAGATAACGGCGCGCATTTTATTCCATTTTTCAACAACGGTTATATACAGGGTGTTTGAGTTGGGTAATAGTTGGGAAAAAAAAAAATATAGGGTGAACCCAAAAAGGCGTTATACCTCCTCGACGAGTAGACTACCAGCATATAGGCTACCCGCTAGCTAATGATTCAATCTAATATACAGGGTGTTTCAGTTATATATTAGTCGAGAAATATATACAGGGTGATCCGCAGTAATACTACCCCACTTTGGGGTATCAGAGGGTTGAAGAGGGTGCGGGTACTCTAAGAGAAGAATTTTTAACGGACACTTCGAAAATAATGGTTCGTCCATATGCAAAGTCTCAAAGTTTATGAGATATCATTTGAAATGTGTGTGAAAACGTTCAGTTAGGTATGTGATGGAAATAACTGTGTTCTAGCGGGGAAGCGGGGTAGCGCTGGCGCGAGCTTATCGAAACCGCAACAATAACACTTTAATGACAATAACAAGATTGAATTTTCATATACAGGGCGTTTGAGTTGATTTAAAATTGAAGAAAAATATATACAGAGTGTCCCACGGTTCGTGGTCCCATGTTTTAGCATAGAAGAAGTGTTTGAGTTGATAGAAATATATACACGGTGTTTGAGTTGATGAAGATTGAAAAAAAAATATATACAGGGTGGCCCATGGTTAGACCACCCCATTTATGTGTTGAAAATGAATCGGACAGCTGACGTATGATAATCGACATATGACATTTGACATTTGACAGATGGCCATCGACAGATAACAACGATCGATGACACGTGACCAGGCTACGTCAACTACCAGCTTGCTGCTGCATACGTTCAATATACAGTGCGTTTGAATAAAAATATATACAGGGAAACTCGCTGCAAGAACTGATCAATTCAGATGAACCCAGCAAACATATTGAACAGGCAAGGTATGACAGATGACGCGCTGACTGATGATTTAGATCAATATACAGGGCAACAATGAGAGAATATACAGAAAAGCTCGCTGCAAGGACTACCTACTTCAGACATGCCTAGCATATATTAGACAAATATGTAGAGCAGCTCCTAACCAAAACTCATGAAACTGCTCTTTGCTACACTAAGGGAAGTATTCTGGCTAGTCCGTCAAACAAATCATGAACAATACTCGTAATGTACGGTTTAGAGGGAATTGTCACGGAAACACCACCGAAATGCCACAGAAATGTCGCAGAACTGTCACAGAACTGTCATGGAAGTGCCACGGAACTGTCACGGAAGTGTCAAGGAAGTGTCACGGAAGTGTCAAGGAAGTGTCACGGAACACGGAAGTGTCACGGTTGTGTCATGGAAGTGTCATGGAAGTGTCACGAAAACGTCACAGAATGCACGCGTTACCTGATGATTCCGATCAATATACAGAGCGTTTGAGTTGAATAGCAATGAAAAAATATGAAGAGGAACTCGCTGCAAAAACTGTCTACTGTAGACGTGCCAAGCAAATAGATATTAGACAAATATTTCGAACAAGTCTTAACCAAAACTCGTGAACAAGATCTGTGCTTTCCCAAGGAAGAACCCAGCGAAATATGTCTAAATTTCACTACCAAAACTCGTAATGTAATGGGGTTCTATAGGCTAGGGGCCTTAGGGATTAGCGATTATACAGGAAAATAAACATGGCAGCATTCAGACAGAAAAAACATATTGCTGTCAACTACTCTACAAGAACGATTCTTATTATACCTATAATAGGTCTGAAAATTCTCTATATATCAACAAAATCAATGGGAAATTATCGTGACGCAATCACTATCATTATACTGACAGACAGCATGAAAAAATGATACAATAGATATCTGAAAAGCTCAAAAGACTAATAATGCTGAACATTCTGCATCAAATAACGAAGAAATAACACCCATTCACCATCCACCTTAGAATATATCGATAAACTCTTTACCAGAACTCATTCAACAACTTCACTGAAGAACGAACCCACGGAATATATCAATCAACTCTTAACCAGAACTCGAAATGTAAGGGGGAGCAGTAGAGGTTTGGGACGTTAGGGATTAGCGATTATACAGAGAATATGAACATGGCAGCCTTCAAGCAGAAAAACATATACCTGTCAACTACTCTACAAGAAAGATTCTTCATCTATATGCAAAGTCCGAAAATTCTCTAGATATCATCATACTCAGAGGTAGCAATGAAAATGATATCGTAGGTATCTGGAAAGCTCCAAATATACTAGACTGATAATGCTAAACATTCTGCATCAAACAACTAGAAAAGAACACCTTTTCACCGTTCACCTTGGAATATATCGAACAACTATTTACACCTAAAACTCATATTACAGCTCAGTGTTTCACCATAGGAGGTATTCTGGTTGATTCATGAAATATGTCGAACAACTCTCTACCAAAACTGGTAATCTAAGAGTCAGAGGAACAAGGGATAGCGTTTAGTGCGATGGGATGTAATCCGCAGGAAGCGAAATAGGTATCATGTTTCGGGTGATCTAATATGAAAGCATACCCGATCAGACCTAAAAAAATTCTGTCATATAGAAATCCTATATATCGTAGGCCAATTCTCATCAAATTCCTCATGAGGAACATCAGTCACGTGACCTGATAGATCGTGAAACGTTTACTTGGTAATAACTGCAAAAATATATGTTTCAACTATACGAGGTGTTTTTGAAATAATAATATGTATTCAGCACATCGATATATAACATTCTCATATCAGATATTTTCAAATTCTTCAAATCAACAGGAACTTTCATCCCTAAAATTGAACAAATAAAGGAAAACATCAAAACAATCTAAACAATCGAACTCAGCACAGACAAATTCATGTAGATGGAACGTTATAGGATTGTTACAGAGTGAAACTATATAGGTGTAAAATTGGTCTCGCCTCACCTATATGTCATTCGATAGTATAAACGTCTCGAGGTTCGAAATTTTCACGCTTATTCCAATACAGCCCAGTATATAAAAAGAAAATGTGGTTATAAAGCATTTACCTTTAGCTTTTTTCACCTTAGCAGGCTTAGATTCGATGAAAATCCGAATAATGAATGAAAATAGTGAGAAGACAATTCAGATAATACAAAAACCGCCATACTCCCATTTTCATACAGGATTCTTTAAAAGCACACATCACTACCATCACAAATAATTCACACACAAACGGCATTTTTGAAAAACAACACCATTTAATCGACGAGAAATTTCACATAACGTCCACGATATGACTGAACAAATATAGAAATAGAAACTTGATAGTCAACAGGAAACCTGATAACAATTAAACGTTGATAATGCATACATGCAACAATATATGAACCACCACGAGGAAAAATATAATATACAGGACGATTAAAAACTGAATCAGATGAAATATTTGAGAGACGTATGACTTTACATTATAACAAATGCATAGGTTCTCGACTGCGATATCTGAGAACAATATGGCTACCGACGATCTGTGACAGATCCAACAATCAAGAAAAAATACATCCC